CCCCCCCCCCCCCGTGTTCTTCCCACAGTGTCTTGCTGAACATGTTACTGTGGGCGGACCCCAAAGTCAGGTCAAGGACAAAGGAAATCCTCTTCCAACTGCAAACCCATTCTCTGACTGAGGAGACCAGTGCAGCTGTCAACCGACCAAGCTCTATAGATTTTCATATTAATCATGTGTGTGTTGTTGGTGGTGGTGAAAATGATGATGATGATGATGATGATGATGATGAGGAAAATGAAATAGATGTTTGTACTTGAGATGATAGAGGGGAAAGTTGACGACAATGATGATGATGATGAAGGTGACAGCAAGAGAAAGAACCACTGGACGCTTAAAAAGTGATGATTTTAAGAATCTTATTTACTTGAAAAGGGGACCCGAAAAGAGATGGTGGTTGATGGTTGTTATGACATAATCATGTATTTGTCATTAAATAAAGGTGATGTCCAAAACTACCCCAAAACTGAGTTCGAATTGTTTGTAATATCCAACTGAAAGAGCTAAAGAACTTTTTAGTGACTGATGACATTGGTAGGAAAATGTTCTTACACTGACAGTCACATTTCTCTGTCCCTGTGTTTGTATGCCCCCAGCATAATTTAGCAAATTTGATCACTTTTTGCAGAACTTCTGATTATTTTCCGTTACCATTCTTTGTTAAAATTAACAGAATCGCATAATTTCACATTTTTTGGGCTCAGTTTGCATAATTTCAGAATTTTTCTTGCATAAAACGACGGGGACAGATTTTTTCTCTTCTCCCAATTGACTTAGGCCACACTCACATGGCCCTCACATTCACTTTCCTTTCTGTTCACACTCTATTGAAAATCTGTTGAGAAAACAGTGTGAAGAGAATGCACACACGCGGCAGATTCTTCTCACTTTCACTTCACTTTCACATTCACATTCACATTTTAAAGCAAGATGCACGTTTTGTCTGCGTTGGCCATGCAGTTGATGGTGTTGTGTTGGTTAAAAAAAGAAGTTGATATATTTTTACTACTGGTTTAAAAGGACATTAATAGAAATCTGTCAGTAAATACGTAGGCCTGTTGTTGTGTCAGTATAACTTTTTCCAAGAAATAAATGACTATTACCGTGTTGCTGTGCTCCTTTTTACTCAAACTTCTTTTTTTTGTAGAGGTTTTACGGCGCTCACAACTGCATAAGGTCATATGAGCGCCATGAGGTGGATGTCAACAGAGAAGTCTTTACAGGGAATCGGGCTTACTCTGCTTACCTCTCTGGCTTCAACAGCACAAAGTCCCTTTCGACTTTCAAAGCACCCACAAACAATAGACGGCGGGCCTAACATCGAGTCGAGTATCTCATGTGCTAGAGTTAGTCCGTTCGCCCGGCCGTTAAGTGAATTAAATTGTGGAGCAGACCAAAAAAAAAAAGAACTGACTTGAGGTCCGCAGTCTGCTCGCTGAGAGAGTAAAATTGTGGAGCGGACCCAAAAAATGAACTCTCTTGAGGTTCACAGTCCGCTCGCACGGCCGTCCGTTACACGCTCGCTCTGACTGAGTCCGTGATTAACGGACCCGTCCATCCGCTCGCCCAAACTCTTATAAAAACGAGAAATGCCCCCCCCCCCCTGGGAATGGCCTACAGACACTTCAGTCAGTGGCACCATCCCGGGTGGGGGGGGGGGGGTATTCTTTAAATTTTGCTTTAATTATACATTAACAAATAGTGTTCCAAGACATTTATTTTCCACATTTATTTTCCAGACAAATACCTCCTGTAGATGCTCCTGTCTGTGGGTGTTCCTCCGGCTGGTCCTCCTGTCCGCGGCTGGTCCTGATGATGAAGACGTGTCAATTGATACAATCGTCTTACGTCTATACAGTTTGCATTTTTGTTTTAAAATGTAAAAAGAGTCGTTATAATATTGTTTACCACCAGTTTAAAAAGGACAGAAGGTCATTAATAAAAAAAACTTTCAGTAAAATTACATTTTACTATTCTCCCTTTCCACCTAAATGCAACAATAAAACTTTTACCTTTAACTCGAAAAACTATAATAATGAACACCAAGACATATTTCCCAGACAAATACCTCCTGTAGATGCTCCTGTCTGTGGGTGCTCCTCTCGCTGGTCCTCCTGTCCGCGGCTGGTCCTGGTGATGAAGACGTGTCAATTAATACAATCGTCTTACTTCTATACATACAGTTTATATTCTTTTTGTGAAAAAACTGTCTCTAAAATATTTTTGCATCAAAGACATTTTAAAAAATTTATCCAAAAATATGTTTCATCATTTTCCTTTTTCACCTAAACGCAAAAAAAGTTTACCTTGTACTTGTAATCAGAAAAACCAATAGGTATTTTTCTAATTTTAGTTTAATAATAAATTACCAAATACAGTCGAACCTGCCCTGACGGCCACCTCTATAAGACGGCCACCTGTACAAATGGTCACTTTCCATTTCCCCTCCTTCCTTTTTTTCTATATAATTTAATTGTGTAAAACGGGCACCTGTCCAACGCGACCGCGGCCACCATATCTTAACACACAACCCCTATCACACCAAACAATAACACTTGTCTTAGACGGCCACCTTAGTGACTCCATTACTTTTTGTCATAAAATTGTGCATTGGCCCCTGGCGTTGTGGGCGAGCCGTCATAATTAAAACACCTGTCGTTGTTGTTGTTAATGTCCCTCCAACTCCAACCGATCATGTTGCGTAGGCCCCTCCCACTGTTGACCAATAGGTAACAAATTTTCATCTGCTGGTGGGGTAAGCGTGTGATCCCTCATAACCCATAAGCCCCGCCCAAAACTCATACAAAAATCGTGAGATGAATGGTCACTGTTTACCCAGTCTGTAACAAAGTAACAATGGACGTCAACATGAACTTGTGACAGAAGCGTCGGTTGTTCTCCTCGTGGTGGCGACCCATGAGTTTGTTTTACCATTGCACTTGGTCCTCCTTGTCTGACACGTCTCGTTTCATAGTCGCCCTTGCACAAAAGCAGAAACAAAAGAAAAAAAAAGGACCCCCCACCCCCAGCGAAAACAACAACAACAGCAATAACAACAACAACAATGCAGCTACTTTCGAGAGACCTCAGAAAGGACAGTTTGTTTTCTTCATCTTGATCACTCCTGCCCAAGACACCAACTGTCTTATACGGCCACTTTTCTCCTCGACAATGGGTGGCTGTCTTACACAGGTTCGACTATTACCAAATAATGTTCCAAGACATATTTCCCAGACAAATACCTCTTGTAGATGCTCCTGTCTGTGGGTACTCCTCCGGCTGGTCCTCCTGTCCGCAGCTGGTCCTGGTGATGAAGACGTGTCAATTAATACATTTTGTATTGTATCTATACAGTTTACATTTTTGTTTCAAAATATAAAAAGAGAGGTTATAATATTGTTTACCACCAGTTTAACAGGACAGAAGGTCATTAATAAAAAACATTTTTCAGTAATTACATTTTATCATTCTCCCTTTCCACCTAAATGCAGCAATAAAACTTTTACCTGTAACAAAAAAAAAACATGTACCTCCTGTAGATGCTCCTGTCTGCGGGTGCTCCTCCGGCTGGTCCTCCTGTCCGCGGCTGGTCCTGGTGATGAAGACGTGTCAATTAATACAGTTGTCTTACGTCTATACAGTTTGCATTTTTGTTTAAGAAAATAAAGAGTTGATATTATATTGTTAGTTACTACTGGTTTAAAAGTACATTAATAGACATCTGTAAGTAAATACGTTTTTTTTTCCTTTTCAGAGAAATGCAGTTAAAAGTCTTACACAGCTTGAAAATTGTTTAAAAAATAAATAAATTTATTTTTCTAACTTAACTTCAATAATCAATACATAATGCTATTTGTACTGGGACATCTGACGGCATTTCATAGAAAGACAGAACAAAATGGTACGGCCACCTATTACGTATGTTACCTAGCCAGCCAGCCTTGAGGACCTATAACACCAAGCACTCAAACTATAAAGGAAGACGAAGGCCACACAAAAGGTGGATTGAAGTTGTCAAGGAAGCCCTGATAAATCATAATATCCGAACTGAAAGAGCTGCGGAGTTGGCCTACCATAGAAATCTGCATCTCCCCTCTATGCATAAAGGCAATAGAGGATGAAAAAGTAAAAGTAAAAGTTAAGTAATTGATCAATTATGTTCCAAGACATATTTCCCAGACAAATACCTCCTGTAGATGCTCCTGTCTGTGGGTGCTCCTCCGGCTGGTCCTCCTGTCCGCGGCTGGTCCTGGTGATGAAGACGTGTCAATTAATACGATTGTCTCGTGTCTCTACAGTTTCCATTTTTGTTTCAGAAAATAAAGAGTTGATATATTTTTCCACTGGTTTAAAAGGACATCAATAGAAATCTTAAAGTAAATTCGTTTTTTATTTTTACTTTTCTGCGAAATGCATTAAAAACCCTTCCACCTTGAAAAAAAAAATTAATAAAAAATTTTTCTTCTAATTTTACTGCCATAATTAATACATTATGCTATTTCCACAGGGACACCTGCCTGCATTTCATAGAAAGACAGAACAATGAGGTCTGGCCACCTGTTATGTATGTTACCTAGCCAGCCAGCCAGCCTAAAAAACCTATAACACCAAGCACTCAGGCTATAAAGAAAGAGAAAGGCCACGTAAAAGATGGACTGAGGTTGTCAAGGAAACCCTGATAAATCATAATATCCGAACTGAAAGAGCTGTGCAGCTGGCCTACCATAGGAAACTGCATCTCCCTTCGTGGCTTAACAGCTACAGTGGATTGATTGAAAGATTGAGTAGGCCCTATCGACTCAATTTGCAACAGAGGAAGAAAAAGTAAAAATATAAGTTAGAAATTGATCAATAATGTTCCAAGACATATTTCCCAGACAAATACCTCCTGCAGATGCTCCTGTCTGTGGGTGCTCCTCCGGCTGGTCCTCCTATCCACGGCTGGACCTGGTGATGAAGACGTGTCAATTAATACGATCGTCTTACATCTATAGTTTCCATTTTTCTTTCAGAAAATAAAGAGTTGATATATTTTTACTACTGGTTTAAAAGGACATTAATAAAAATCTGTCAGTAAATATGTAGGCCTGTTATTATTTTCCCTTTTCACCTAACTGTAAAAATAAAACTTTTACCTTTATATCAGAAGAACCAATAGACATTTTTCTTTTTTCTTTTTTTTGTAGAGATTTTACGGCGCTCACAACTGCATAAGGTCATATGAGCGCCATGCGGTGGATGTCAACAGAGAAGTCTTTACAGGTATTTTTTAAATTTTG